GTGCACACCGTGATGTCATTGCTCAACATCTTAAAGTTCCTCTCGAGAAGCTCATGTATTACTCTGTTCCTCACACTTCTACTTGTCGGCAGCACTTATCCTTCAAATAGGGGTTAACTAAGCATACCATTTTGCTTATTATTTTGCAGTCCAGCTATGAAAAATCTTGAAGAGGAAGGCCTGATGTACTCAACTACTGATGAATATCACGTCAAATCAACTGCCAACGGTTGACGTCTCTATTATGGTGTAGATAAGGCAAGGTTAGTTCCTGCCGTCCTTGTCATCTATGGTTGAAGTTGGGAAAAATATTTGTAGCCATATATATGATCCGTTCAGAACAGTTTTAGCCTCTACTAACTTGCCAGCGAACAAAAAAAGATACAATGAAAACCAAAGCCCCCATGACCATGACTTGCTGAAACTTTTGTAATGACATTTGTCTCTGCGACATTTTTGGAATGCAACAGAATAGGGAGCAGCCTGCAAAGGTGGATTTGGCCGATTCCCAGAATCTAAGGGTATGTTATTTCCAATCCACAAAAACCTGTAGCTTATGTTTCTTCTGGTGAAGTTAGAGGCTAGACCATTGTTTTTTGTTGATATATACATGCATTCCCAAGCTCAAACCTTAACTAAAATCCTCTGTCTTTTGTGCTTTAATAAACTTGTCTCTATTGAATCGTAATCCTTAGGAATCTTAGATGTCTTTATTAGGTGGTTTTAAAGTATGGTAATTATTCTTTTTAGATTGGTGTTTCTCATACATGCCCCTTTAAACCCATAAAATCAGGACTACCACTCTAAATGACCCTTAGAGCCTTTTTGGCGTGATACCTTTCCCTCTGTGCTTGTATTTTTGGCTGAGAAGGATTGAATACCTGTATAGCCTCTTTGGCTTTCTTAATAAATTTAAATTTTTGTCAAAAAAAAGACAAATTTAAAATCTTAAATAAAAAATTGATAATAGAAAAAGAGTCGAGGGTTTGTCTTAAAGGACTTGCATTTTTTGAAAAATATGGAATCTGAAGAAAACTTTGGTGGGAAGAAGTTGATATCTCTAACTTACCTCAAGAGATGAGATAAGGATCAGAAAAGTTACAAGGGCGCTTCTCATCAACATACCACTGTAAGTTGTAATCACAAAGAACTTTATTAAGATAAGGTAGTTTAGAATCCAAATTCATTCAAAGATGTCCCACCTTGCCCATAAGTTTTAGGTAAGAAAAATCTAAAGTAAGAAAAACATGAAATGCAGATAATGATTAATATTCTATGCAAAAACATGGAGGAATAAAATACATTTGAAAAAAAGGCATGTGAAAATAGATCATACACAAATAAGAAGCCGCTAACGTGAGGAATCATTCCATCCACAAAATCCCCATAACTTTTTATACTTATTTTGACTGTAAGACATTATTATCTCTAGTTTCCATTATCTTCTTCTCTCTCTGGAATTTAGCTTCAAGTTCACATTATTAAGAACGAGATAAAGGGAATCAGAAAGCAAATTCAAACACTGCCCCGCCGAACTCTCTGCCAATCCCCTTTTTCCTATTCGCTTTTGGTAGATACAAAAAGACAGCCTCTCCATTTAATCCCCTTTGGCCGATTTGGAACTGTTCATATTCAATTTTGATGCCTTAATTTAAAGGGGATAGCCTTCCCAATTCTTTAATCCTTTATGCGTCTTTCTTCTTTTAGACAACCATTCTGTGCGGAATCATTCAGTTTTGTCTCCACGTTTCAGATCTTACTTGTTCTTTTTTTAACTAAAATAAGTACTATCATATATTACATCCATGCTCCATTTATACGGCTTATATTCTTTTATAAAAATAATAATAAACCATGTCGGCCGATCTTGTATGCATTATCTTCAATTATAGTTTTGCTTTTTAATTGTTATACTTACTGAAAATTCCTTCCTGTTCGCTAAAAATGACGTGTGAAATTGCTGACTAGGTGTTTATTATTATTTTTTTTTTATATAAATAAAACTCTCCTAATCAGTTTCTAAAGTTTTATGAAAACTATTTTTAGCTAAATTCTAACCTCGATAAGCCATAGAAACTAAGTTTATAATAACATAAGCCTAAGCCTAACTACCATAAGTTGACTTAGTGGTTAAGAAGGCTTATGATAAAGGGTCTAGAAGAAATGAGTTTAAGGTATAATGCACTAATGTAAGATTTAATATCCCACTGGATATATTGGCAAGGTCAAATAGGTGGTTTCTAAAAATAGTTTAGGTTCACTTAAGCCAACCTGGATGCACATAATGTACTAGAACTTTTAAGAGTATATTTATTAAGTGCTTGGTGGCCTACATATTAACATTAATCAAACAATATTATTATTATTAATTTTAGCTTAGCTTAATAGAAAGATTAGAACTTTTGAGGAAGAGAAACAATTTCTTAACTGGTTGATAGTCCCTCCTATAAGGCAGGCGTCAACAGGTTTAAACGTGATCTTCATATTTATAATATTAAATTGACCAATAAAAAAAGAAAAAACAAAACAAAACAATTGACTATATGTTAATAAATGTCTGACTTGTAATTCATTCGGGTCCAACTTTTATAGCCATGTAGAATGGGCGTAGGCATTCATATTTAAAATAATATATATTTTTTTTTTTAAGAAAATGCCATAACATCATTTCTTCCATATCCAAATTTCCAATATAATAAAGTACCAAATAATTGAAAGTTTAATAAGTAATTTACTGAAAGAAAAAAAAAAAGAAATATAGGAGATGTGAGAAGAGAGGAATTGTGCAGAAAACTGCAAGTGGAAGTGGATAGGGAGATGGATGAATGTGATTTGGTAATGGCATCCACATGAATGCATGTTAGACTGCGGACACGTGTCGCCAATTTTGCCCATTACCATATTAAAATTTGGACACGTGTCAATGTTGGATTGAAGGATGCCAGAGGTTGCATGCAATGATATGAATAATATCTAGTTATTGAAGGGGCTGTCAGCCTGTCAAAGAAATAGGAGCTAAAATCAAACATTTATTTATTTATTTATTTACCTTTAACTTTAACATCACATAAATAGGAACAGAAAATTGAATCCTTTACCTATTAAGATTTGTAGGATGAACCCTTCAATTAGGCTTAAATTAATAATATCTTAATGGGTTAATTTAGTTTTATAGTTACTTTTTTAAATGAAAATTGGAATGGAGAAAAGGCAAATATTAAATAATGAAAAGACACTGACCCATAAAAAGCAATAAATTTAAATTTGGGCTGCCATTCATTTATTCCATTTCTAATTTAGTAGGGACTGGTTTAGAAAACAGAAAAGTTTGTATTTTGAGGGTAAAAGTGGAACTAATGAAATTAAAATCATATTTAGCCTCATCATCATTCAATTTGATGAACTTTAAATATTTTGTTCTAGTCTGGCTGTTGTAAATCAACCTATTATTCTATTACAAATACTTGTCTACCCACCTATCTACTCACAAAATGAATAAATTTGTTTTTTTTTTTTAAATCTTCTAGAATAATATACAAACGTGAAGGGAAATTCGAACTTCTTATCTCTGGGTCAAAGTTATGTCTTAGAAACAACCCATGTATAGAATTCATAAAACTAGATTTGATAGTTGATTGCCATGACATTTTTTGTGACATAGTCATCTTACTTACTCCTCGTTTTGAAAATAAAGACTATCCTCACAAACAAACACAGAGTCCTTCTAACATGTTTTGTCATAACTCACATGCATTTTATAAAAGTTCACAAGAAGTCACCCAACATAAAATTAATCAAAGTAAAACACACTCTAATTGAGCTATCGGAAAAAAAATACACATTGTTCGTATAAGTAAAATGAATGAAATTAAAAAATAATAACAATAATTAAAGAAGAATAACTAATAGTAAAATGGTAAAAGAAAAGAGGGAAAGAAGAGGGGGGAGGGAATTGTCCTGTGCGTGAGGCAGTTAGTCAGAAGAAAGGACTACACACCTCCCTCTCGTTTACACAAAATTAAATATAAAAAACTAAAATAAATTAAAAAAAATAAAAATAGAGAGAAGAATTATAAAGAAATTCATGGATCACATGTTGTCCCCTATTCCACAGTCTTGCTTCCCCACTTTCATACACACCATTACATTCTTCCCATGCTGTCTTTCTACTACATAATAATAAATAAACAAATAATTCTTGCACAAAAATAGAACAATCAAATTTATAATTATATATAAAAATATATATATGTATATATTTTTTACTTTTATTTATGGAAGTTAGTCAAAAGTATTTTAATTTTAAAGTCCAACACAAAATTTTATCGCCCTGATTTTGCACAATAATTTATTTTCTCTCAACTTACTTTCTTCGTTTTCTTTTGTTTTTTTCTTCAAAAAAGTAAATGCTTTATTGGGTTTGGTCAATTATCAGTATTTAAAAATAAATAAATAAATACGACACCGTTTTCTCATCCCATCATACTCTTCCACTTGGCTCTCTTCCTCTCTCCCCCCTCTCTCTACATTATTATATATTTATTATTCCTCTAAATTAATTCATTTTTTTAATTCAAGTAAATCCAAGAAAGAGAGACACGATATTATATCATATTCATGTATTAATTGGTTTTTTAATTATATAAAATTCAAAAATGATACTTTGGATAAACTGAGGATTAATATTTAAATACCCTTATGTTTGGAAATAAATGAGGAAATTAGGAAATAAGATTCTAAATTGAATTTGAATTGTTATAACCTCAAAAATCAAATAGATTTTAAAAATTAAAAAAAAAAAACAAATATAAAGGTTAATTTAAGTGATAATTATGATTGAAAGTAATAGAAAAGAGAGGCATTTTATTATTATTATTATTATTATTATTATTATTATTATTGATTTAATAAGAAAATTAAGAACCTCGAAGATGGTGCAAAACCCCCCTCGCTGTTTCCTCCTCTATATCTGTGTCATCCCCCTCCTCACCCTTCCTTCCACCCCCAATATCTCATTTTCTTCTCATTTTTCTCTCGCCGCCGCCACCACCACCACCACCACCACCACAACAACCACCGCTTCACTGCGAAGCCACCAATTTTTTATAGAATGAACTCTTCTTCCTCTTCTAATTCTTCCTCGTCTTCCTCTTCTTCCTCCTCTTCAAATTGGCTTGCTTTTTCTCTCTCTAACAATCCCAACTCTCTCTCTCTATTCCACCACCCTAATCCTCCCGATCTCTCCATTTTCTCCCCCAAGCTCGAGGATTTTCTCCGGGGAGCTTCCACCCCTCCGCCGCTGCCGTCTCCCTACCAGTTTTCTCCCCATCAAACGCCCCTCACTTTCTGTGAAGAATCCGAGATTTGCGATTCTGATCTCAAAACCATAGCCGCTAGTTTCCTCCGTGGATCTCCCTCCCAGTTCCCCGAACAACACCTTCAGCAGCATCTCCACGCGCCGCCTCCCCACCCTCTGCCTGATACCCTAACCAATCCACCGCCGCCGCCTCCCAAGAAGTCCGTCGATACTTTCGGCCAACGTACCTCCATCTACCGCGGTGTTACAAGGTAACAATTCATTAAAAATAAAATATAAAAAAAAACCCTTTATTTATTTATTAATTTACTTATTTGGGGTTTCATAAAAAATGATTTATATGTTATTTAAATGTTATTATATGGTTCAGACACAGATGGACTGGTCGATATGAAGCTCATTTGTGGGATAACAGTTGCAGAAGAGAGGGTCAGAGTAGGAAAGGAAGACAAGGTAATTTCTTTTTTTTTTTTTTTTGTACTTGTTATTAATAATTATTTATTTTTGCTCTGGACGAACCCAAAAATTTATTTTTAGGGTTTCCAAATGTGGAATAAAACAACCACATTTATGTATAAAATGCTGTCTCTTCTTTTTTACCTCAAAAAAAAAAAAAAAAAAAGCTGTTTTTTCTCTGCAAGATTACTGTCCTTTTTCCTAATGAAAATTCAGAAGATATTTTTTTAGAAAAATTAAAACTTGAATGAATTAGGGTTTTTTTTTTTTGTAAGATTCTGATGTGGGTCTTTGTTTTTTTCCATCTTGTTTTGGTGATCGGACGTGATTGATCGTTGCTGCCATGGATGGATTCTCATTTCTCAGTTTATTTGGGTGAGTTTTTATTTATTAAAAAAAATATTAAGTTGTGATATAAATATAGAAATGTATGATTGAGTCATCACAAAAAGAACACAGATCAGACAGTGTGTCTGTCTGGGTTTCGACAGTGCCAAAGATTCTCTTCAAAGATTTATTCTCTCATTCAATTTGAATTTGAATTTCGAATAACTTATTATTATTATTATTAATTATGTCTTTTGTGATTAGGTGGTTATGACAAGGAAGAAAAAGCAGCTCGAGCTTATGATCTCGCTGCTCTCAAATACTGGGGTCCGACCACCACCACCAACTTTCCGGTGAGTTTTTTTTTTTTAAATTTCCCTACTTTTTTCCATTTTTTTATTTTTTTAAAAATGTTTTTTTTCTTCTTCATTTTAAAGGTGTCGGATTACGAAAAAGACCTGGAGAATATGAAGAACATGACCAGACAAGAATTTGTCGCTTCATTAAGAAGGTATTAACATTAACATCTAAACATTTTAATTATTTTTTACAATTTTTTCAATTTTTTTTTCTCTTTCAAAATAGGAAAAGCAGCGGTTTCTCTAGAGGAGCTTCTATTTACAGAGGTGTAACAAGGTATTTAATAATTTTTTTTTTTTTTTTTTCTTTTCTGAAGTGTTTATTGAAAACGACATGTTTTGTTGTTCAGGCACCACCAACATGGCAGATGGCAAGCAAGAATCGGGAGGGTTGCTGGCAATAAAGATCTCTACCTTGGAACTTTCAGTAAGCTCTCTAATTAATTAATTATGTTTCAATTTAATTATTGTTATTATATGATTAATTATTTTATATAAATAGGCACTCAGGAAGAAGCAGCGGAGGCGTATGATATTGCGGCCATCAAATTCCGAGGCCTAAACGCTGTCACCAACTTCGATATAAGTCGCTACGACGTCAAAAGCATTGCCAGCAGCAACCTTCCCATCGGAGGCATGTCGGCCACCAAATCCAAACCCACCACCGACTCCTCCGCCTCCGAAGACCGCGACGTGCACCATTCTCCCGTCTCCTCCACCGCGACTCTCCTCCCATCTCACCCCAACACCTCCACTCTAACCTTCGGAATGCCGCCCATCAAACAAGACCCATCCGACCAATACTGGTCCATGTTCGGCTACAACGTTCCCCCACCAACATCCTCATCCTCCTTCACAATGTTCCAACAACCTTCAAACACCGCATCCACAACGTTCCCCGCCGTCGCCGACCTACCTCCAACCGCCTCGCCGCCGCTCCCCGAAGGCGGCGCTTACGAGCAGCACCAACAATTTGCAGCCCCGATAGCTTTAAGTAGAGCAAGCCTGTTTCAAACGCCAATATTTGGAATAGAATGAAAGGCGTGAAGGGAGGGTTTTGACATTTTATGAATAGGTGGATAATATGGTAGCTGCCACTAAGCTGACTGTGTAGTAATCAAAGCTGTGTACTGACCTTTTTTTTTTCTTTGTTTTTTTAGATTATGCTTTTTTCTTTTCTTTTATTATGTATTTTCTTTACCTTCAGTCACTCACTATATTTTGTCTTTGTTATGGGCAAATTTTATATTAAAAAAAAAAAATGGTCCTTTTCCATTCCTATACCCATTTCATAATTACTTAATCTCGTTTAAAACTTATTTAATTATTTAAATTTCTTAAATTAAGCTTATGAATATTTATTATAGTATGATCTATGTTTCTTTTAGATATTTTTTGAGTTAGAATTTGAAAGCTAAATTAATAATTTTAAAAAAACTTGTTTTTGTTTATGAGATTTAGTAAATTTCAGTTTTAGTTTTTAATTTTAGAAAATTAAATCAGCTTCACATATGTGAGAATATAATATGATAAAAAAAAAAATTGTGGAAAAATAAGTACAATTTTAATTTTAATTTTTTATTTTATATATATATGAATAAGTTTTTAACTTAAATGTTGGTTTATTTTTATTTTTTTTGAATGAAAATGAGGTGTGGAAAAATAAAAATAACTATAAAACTCTTAAACTCTCAAAAGTTTCAATAATACCTTTAAAGTTTTAAAAAAATCTAAAAAATATTGTTAATATTGTTATTATTATTTTTTTATTTATCAAAATACGATACCCTCAAATTTTTAATAATTTATTAAATTTTTAAAAAATACTTTTTAAAGTCAAATGAGATGCAGAACTAAAATATATTTTTATTAATTTAGGAGAAAAAAAAAAAAAAAAAAAAGAAAAAAAAAAGGGCAGAAGATTGGGAATCTAGCGTGGAGGGGTTATTGGTCAGCTTTTGGGGAGTTGGTGTGGGTTTGAAGTTGCACAGACTTCTTACTCAAATTACTCTCTTTTCTCTTAATATTTTATCACCCAATCTACCTTTTCTGTACTACAATACCACCCTTTTTTTCTTTTTTTTTTTTTCTTTCCATTTTTAAATTTATGTAAACTCATATTAAATTATGATAAAAGAAAGGTAATTGAGTTGAGTATCTCGTAAAAAAAGCTCTTTTGAGTTAAAAATCGTCACGAGATCCGAGAAGGACTATCGATATTAATTTATGATATCGTATTATACGACAAAACAATGAATCCTTAATCTTTGCCATTTTCCTATAATATTTTTATTTTTATTTTTATTTTTTTGTAATAAGTGATAGCCAAAATGCATAGATACAACAAGGAACAAAATCAAAAAGAAAAAAGAAAAAGCCAAAAAATGACTCATCATAATTCACCCACATATTATATATTATATATTCACTTAAAAAAGGAAGGTCAAGCCAACCCTTTTTCTTTTTCTCAGTTTATCACAACACTCCTTGACCATACCAAAAGTAAATCCCTTCACTTTATTTATTATTATTCTTTTTTAAATATGTTTTTGTTTGAATTAAAAAAAAAAAAAATCCAAGAGCTTTTATGGTCTGATTTTCCTTTTTGTTTTTAAATAAAATTTAATAAATTTTAGAGAAAAATAAAATAGATGATGGAATGTCCTTTTGTACCTTTCGGCGAATAAATATTACATTACTCCTCATTCTTTCTTCTTCTTCTTCTTCCTTTGCCTTTTGAATTCTTTTCTTTTCCTCTCGACTTAAACTCAATTAATTTAAATTCTTACACTACAAACCTATTACACAAATAATAAATAAATAAATAAATAAATAATAATAATAATAATAATAATTGGGAAAAGAGTGTGAGATGTGGTTGGGCACATGCTATTTTCCTGAAAAGGGCAACATTTTGAACAAACTCAACAAAGCAAATCTTAGTCAAATGTAATTACTATGCTGCAAAAAGATGACAACTTTTTTTATTTTTTTATTTTTATTTTTATTATTTATATAATATTTATGCTTTACTTACAAACATTTTGTGTCGGCCATAATACTCCGCTTCCCTACTTCCTCTTCTTCCTTTTTCTATTATTATTATTATTATTATTATTATTATTATTATTACTATCTTTACCTTTTTCTTTTTATATTCCCTCCTTTTTCTCTCGTCGTTTTGCTTTGACTAAGGATTTTCAATTTTCCTTTTTAAAAAAAAAATAAAAAAAAAAAAAAGGAAAACTCTATATTCATTCATAATTTTTTAATTTTGGTAAAAATTTTAGATATGTATAAGGTTAGTTTAATTTTATGTATAGGGTTAAATTATTAATTTTGTGGTAATCTATTCGTCACATCAAAAATCATTAGAGGTCCCATTGAATAAGTTGAATCATTTTTTTTTTTTAACTTAGATAAATATATAGCGCTATCATTTCCTAGTTTCTCTTTTTTGTTTTTTAGTAAGATTTGTATGGTTGGTTGTTGGAGTTATGATAATAATGATGTGGCAATGAGCCCACACGTGCTTTCTGACTACTCTCCTCTTGCCCATGCGTGTGAATCTCTCTCCCAAATCTAATAACAATTTTCTATTATTATTATTATTATTATTATTCCAACGTGTCAACACCAATTGGGCCTATGGGTTTGATTTTATGGGCCTACTACTGTGTAACAACATCCTGCACTCGGGCTGGGCTTTCCGCTCCAAAAGAATCCTACTATACAAATGGATGGTTTAATCCATCATGTAATACTAACCCAAAACAAGAATATTGGTGCAGCTATGGACCACGTAGGATATAATAATTCTTCCACCACCATAATTCAATTTCGGAACAAAAAGGAAAATAAATATTATTATATTCCAATCACAAATCTTATATCGCTCTCTCCAAGTCGGTGGAGACTTTTCGTGTCAATCAACGGTTAGGATTTAGGACATTATCTCAATTTTAACTTCAATTTTTAAATCCATTCTATATTTTGTTTTAAAATATTTTAATAATGTTCCATTAATACTTTATATAAAAACAAATATCCTTCTTAAATGTTACTATTTAACTTATTTTTAAAAAAATTATAAATGTTGACAAATGTCAAATATTTAATTATTTGATCATAATTAGAAAAGTCATGGTATTGAAACTTGACCTTTTTTCCCCCTAAATGCTCATGATAAAAAGAAACAGTTTGGAGGTTGGACTTTTTGTATTAAATACTAATTAAGTTGTCTTATTGCATTAAGATTTAATTAATATATCTATTTACAAATCACGTGCACACCCATTCCACAACTTTTTCAATCATTCCCACAATTTAGATCTAAAATTTGGACTCATATAAATATTATTTTCTATTAAACTTTCATTCTTAAACTCTTTAATTTTTCCCAATAAAATTTTCTTTTTTTTGGGTTAAAAATAAATCGTTATAATTGAAGACGACGACTATATCTTTAATTATATTTGCGTTGTTACCGAGCTCCTTCATTGATTGTGGGCACCCAAGCTACAACTCCCTCACCCACCTTATCTCCTACTCTCGTGCTAGTGTTATGCACTTGTCGCTTTCACCTTCCTGTCTTTACTTTTCGTTTTCTTTATTCATATCAATCTTTATAGTTTTAGTGTCTTAAGCTAATGGAAATTTTTTTTCGTCCACTATTGCCCTTAACATTGAGATTCTAGTTCACTTATTATTATCTAGATTTCTTAAATTAAAAAAAAAAAATTATAAATTTGGCTGAATTTTCAACAAAGGCCAATATAGAATTAATTTGAGATTTGACTTAAAAAAAAAAAAATATGGTTTCTCAAAATAGAAAAAATAAAAAGAAGAGAATATCATCCACCCATTTTATTATAATTTTATCATTAAAAAATCTGAAAGAATATTGCCTCTAATGGGAAATCAATGGACAATTCAACGTGTTTGATTTTCGAATATACATTTTTTTTTTTTTAAAGAAATGGAAGCCAAAAATGGTAATTTTATGTATATTTGAATGAATCATATGGGTTTTGGCTACCAACATTAATAACTATAATGGTTGGTCCAATAAGAGTGGCACTGTGATTGGGCAATTATAGGCACACTAGACATGGCATGGGGAACACTATCATTCACCTATTCTGATTATACAAAAAAAAAAAAAAAATAATAAATAAAAATAAATATTTTAATTTTGTTTAAAATATAAACCCAATAAAAAGGAGAAAGAAAATATTTTTTCTCATATTAAAATCACTAATTAATTCAAGAATTTAAGTTTATGAGTTTACTTATGCCGGGAGAAATCAATATTAATATATAATGTCTATTTTGATGACATATTAATCATCTCCACTAAAATACACAATGTCTAAGTGAGTTTGAAAATGGCTTGTCACAATAATTTTGTTCGACATTTAAGAATTATATTGATATGATTAAGTTTAGAGCATGACTCTAATACCATATTATAAATTACGGATATCTACTATGGTAGGATATTATTCATTTTAAGTATAAGAGTGGATAATATTTATAGATTATAACCATAAGAGAGTTGGGAAATGAAGAGGAGATTTAAAGTTAAAAACAATAAGAATAATAATAATAAAGAAAGAACAAAAAAAAAAAAAAAAAAAAAAAAAAAAANAATCATGCAGCCGCTATGCTATTCTTCATTCATTTGATGATTTGATCGAATCACAGAGTGTCTCTCGATTAAACCTCGCTTCGACGCCACAGCTGCCTCATACTCTTTTATTTTCCCCTCTTTCTCTCTCGACTCCGCCAATCTCCTCTTCAAATTTCCTCTTCCGGACCTCAATCCATGGATTCCTTCATCCGCCTTCACTTTCCCGCTATTTTCTGGTACTGTTTTTCCCCTTTTTCTCTCCTTTCCTTCTTCATCAGTTTCTGTTCTTCTGATTTTTCTCTCGCTCTCTTTCTCTCCGCTCTTCCCTGGTTCATTATCCTTCCAGATTTCGTGCTTTGCAGGTCTGTTTTCGTTCGCTTTTGGTGGTAATGTGGTGGAATCACTGTCTGCTTTCTTTTCAATATGCCTTCCGATTCTTCCTCTGAAGGTAATCTGGTCAATCCTTCATGTTTTATTTCATCCTACCTTTTGACATCGATTTTTGGTTTTTTTTTTTTTATAACTGCCGGCCAATTTTCATTCTTCTAGTTTTGTAGTTGGATTCTTATTCACCTGTTGCTTCTATTGCAATTGTTTTTTTTTTTTTTTTTTTGTCG